GTCCTTAGAACAAAAAAACCCTTAAACCTAAATCCCTAAATCCCTAAACCCCGAAACCCTAAACCCCTAAAGTGCAAAGAAGCGCGGCGCAGACTGGGAGCCCCCGGCGGTCTTGGACCAACTCTGCACCCGCCAAGGTGCCTGCTTCGATAATGGGGTTTGGGGTTTGGGGCTGAGGGTTCAGGGTTTAGGGTTTAGGGTTTAGGGCTGAGGGTTCAGGGTTTAGGGTTTAGGGCAGAGGGTTCAGGGTTTAGGGCTGAGGTTTAGGGTTTAGGGAATGTAGGGCCTTAATAATCAGAATAGGGTTGTGCGGGTTTCCTTTATAGGGTTCAGAGGGCCTTAATAATTAGAATACGGTTGTCGGGGTATATTATACTATAGTTATAATAAGGAACCCCCAAAAGTGTTAGGTAATTGGCCGGGGCCCTTGACCGGCGAGAAAAGGGCTTCATCAGGGTTTAGGGTCCCTAAACCCTAAACCCTAAAACTCATTAGACTAGGCTTTACATAGGGTTTAGGGACTCATTCGAACAGGGTGTAGGGCCCTAGGGACTCACTAGAAAGGGATTCCCTAGGACTCCTTTTTAGGGTTCTTAAAGGATCCTTTAAGGGATCTGTTTGGGGTTCGTTTTGGGGGTTCCCTTAATGTTAGGGTTTGGGGTTTAGGGTTTCGCGTGGGTTGGGGGGTTTAGGTCTAGGATTTCATATTAGTTTAGGGCTTAGGGTTTCATAGGGGTTGGGGTTTAGTGTTTCATAGGGATGGGGTTTGGGCTTCACAGTGGCTAAGTGCTTAGGGTTTCACAGGGGTTGATGGGTGCAACAGGGGGTCTAAACAATTAAAACAGGGCTTGAGGACATATTCTACTATACTATGATCGTATGGGGAACTATGCGGGAATGCCACAAAGAGTTCAGACCTCTATATCTTACTTCACCAATAAGCCAGGGAAATAACAGCTTAAACTTTCAGGTTACTACTCGATTATCAGAACCCAAAAAGTTTACCTAAACCCTAAACCCTACTACTCAATTATAAGAACCCAAAAAGTTTAAAGGTTTGGTTTGGAGAACTAGGGAAGTTTCGGAGCCTTCACTAAGTACGGTTAAGATTCAGGGTCGTGATTTTATGCTAAGAGTTCAAGCTTTTTTCAGGTTTAGGGGTTTAGGGTTTAGGGTTGCTTAAGCCTAAGCCTGTGCCCACCCTCGGTTGCAACATGAACAACTCTTTACCTTACTTCTTAAACCTTATATAGCCTACCAAAACCGTTCTCCCAAGCCGTAAACCCGAGCGTACGAACAAGCCTAGACTCTAAACAGTAAGCTGTATTACAAACCCTAAACCCTAAACCCTAAACCCTAAACTATGAACCTCTACTCCCCAAACCTTATGGCCCACAGCTTTCAGGGGGAGGCACACGTAGCGCCACGCCGCCAAAGTTCGAAAGGCGAAGAGACCTACGAACTGCGAGAGGGCTTTGGGGACATTACAGTTCAGAGTTCAAGTAAAATTAAACCTAAACCCTAGAGCCTAACCCCTAAACCCCTAAACCCTAAACCCTGTTAAAAGGGTACCAGAGTTCCAGACGCTCTGGGATTCCAGTTTATGGGCCAGGGCTAGGGAAAAATCCCTGTAGAGGTGTTCGGAGGGGCATCGACCTTTTCAGGAGTGAGGAGTTGGGTTTAGGTGTGCCTTCAAGGTAAGAGCCGAAATGATGTGTGGGCCTCCGCAGTGTGAACATACTGCCTCCCCATAGGCCCCCTAGTAGTTCCTTTTTGGGGTTACCTTATAGGATTCTATGATGAACCCCAAAAGGGAACTACTTTAGGGCCTATGGGTAACCATGCAAACTTACCAGAGGTACTGTAGTGTTCACGGCTTGGCTTGATCAAAGAACTGTCTCTTCTCATGTCGGCGTCAATCGAGGCAGCAGCATCAACGAAGGCTGGACTTGGGATATGGGTGGTTGTCAAAATTATGGTCCCCTTGTTGGGTCCGTACCCAGAGAGCCCAATACCCCTTGAAGAAGGGGAACATACCTTAAATTATAGGGGCCTTATTTCTATGATTTAAGGTATATTCCTTAATTAAGGGGTATTGGGCTCTCTGGGTAATAAAATACAGCACCTAATATTTAGGGTACCCAGCAAGGGACCCTAATTTTGACAACCACCCATCTTAAACCCTAAACCCTAAACCCTAAACCCTAAACCCTAAACCCTAAACCCTGAGTGGGGGCGCCCTAACAGTTTCGACCTTGGGGCCTAAGGGCCCTTCAGTCTAAGGTAGAACCCATGGGGTCCCTTGTTATGGGCCCTTAAACCCTGGGACCCTCATATACCCTTAAGGGTTTAGGGTTTAGGGTTTAGGGTTTATACCCTGCTATATACCCTTAAGGGACCCTAGGATCCCCTAAGGGCCCATGTTAGGGGCCCATGGGTTCAACCTTAGATTCAGGGCCCCTCCAGCCCCAAGCACCAAAGCAATGAATCCGACATGGAGTTGCTTTTTAATCGTTCAAGGGTCCATGGTAGTTTATACCTGCTATGGTGACAGTCATGACTAAATACCTGCGGGCAGCCTCACCAAACAGGTGTGCCACTTCGCGGTTCACGAAGATTGCGCGTGTACCGTCAACGAAGAGTAGTGAGAACCTTGTTCGCGAAAGCCCTAAACCCTCCTTGCACCTAAACCCTAAGCCCTCGGCTCTGAAACCCGGTCCCTCGATCAATTCTGAACCCGAATAAACTGTCTAAGCCTTACACCTCTGAACCCGGGAAGGATTCGTCTATAAGGTAGGGTTTAAAATCTTTGGGGTTTAGGTTTTCTTGTAGAAGGCTTGTTTCAAAGGTTTAGGGTTCAGGGGATTTCGTGCTTTGGAAGGATTGTGTCTTCTCCTAAACCCTAAACCCTAAATAGGACCTGGGCAGGTTGGAACGGTCTTGGGCTCGAAGACCTAAGCCCCTAGTATGCGCTTGGCAGTTGGGTGTAGGGCTTAGGGTTTAGGGTTAAGGTTTAGTTTAGGGTTGTCTGAAATTTCTTCCTTGGGTTGGTTCGGCGGAGGCCCTTTGAACATATTTTTGTGACATGGCATGATTTCGGTTAAGGGTTTAGGGTTTAGGATTTCAAAAGACTTTGGTGTGCACACACGCGCACACACACACACATGTGCCTGAGACCTAAACCCTTAACCCTAAACCCTTGCCTATCCCCTGGCCGAGCAGCTGTGGCGCGAGCAGATCTATAGTGGCCTGTGCTTCCGTGGGGTCCTTACTATAGGGGCTTTGGGTTTAATGGCTTCAATTTGGGGGTTCAGGTTTAGGGTTTAGGGTTTAAGGCTCAAGGGTTTGAGGGTTTATGTAAGGGTTGCTGGGTGAGGTTTTAGGGTTCAGGTCAGGATTCGAAAAGATCCTTACCCTGGCAACCTGACATGAAACACACCCCTTCCCTTCTGAGCCCTAAACCCTAAACCCACCTCGCTGAGATCCCTAAACCCTAAGCCCAAAATTGGGCTTGCCCAGCTGGATTCGTCGTTGTTTGCCAAAACTCGATGGTGCACCGGAAAAATCCTCGCAACTCCTAGAGCTCTAGAAAGTCCCTGAACCGCAAAGTGTCGTAAATCTCCATTCTGTAGCTATATATATATATATGTATATACAGCAAAGGTATACATCTCGAAAACGGACCTAGAAAATGGCCAGTGGGATTTGTGAAGCAAAGAGTACCTATACCGAGCACTCGCTCGTCATTGCTAACTCCAAGTTGGTTTCTGTTCTGATTCATAAATCACACACCCTGAAACCCTAAAACCCTAAAGCCCTAAATCCTAAACCCTAAAGCCCTAAACCCTAAACCCTATAAGTCCTATAAACCCTATAAACCCTAAACCCTACAAACCCTAAACCCTAAACCCCACACCCTAAACCCTAACTTGAATACACGGCGCATCTGGACGGCAAGGATCCTTGTTGTAAAGCAGCTGGGGCCCCTACTGATTGAAGGTTCGAATCAGGACTGACGGGTTTAGGATTTTAGGGTTTAGGGCTTTAGGGTGTTAGTGTTTAGGGTTCAGGGTTTAGGTGCCCCTTGAGCCCTTCCACCTGGCCTTTGAGACTCCATTTCGGGGATGCACTTGGGTTCGGGGTTTAGGGTCCCAGTAGCTTTCACAAGATCTCCTTGGACCCGCCCGGTCCCTAACCCTGGTTTTAGGGTTCAGGGCAGAAGCTTCTGGATCCTAGGGTTTAGTGTGTAGGGTTTTGTGTTAGTTTTTTAGGGCTTAGGTGTAGGGGTCCTATAGTATTTAAATCCCGAGTCTTAACTTGCGCCCGAAGCCTTGCGCCCTGAGCCCTTAGACCCTGCAGACCCCCTGTGCTTAAATCTATATCTCCAAGTTAACATCCAAGAACCCTGGACCCTAAATCCTAAAATCCAAAACCCAAATCCAAACCTATAAGCACCTAGACTTGCCTAAACTTTGCTTTAGCATTGTTTAGGGTTCGGCAAAGGGGTCCAACATTGAATATTCATTACTACTAACACTATGCCGTCCTGACAGTGGAAAGTCAACAACCTTCCACCTGGGACCTTGACCAAAGGAGCTAAAGTATCCCGAACCGTAAACGCTTCATGTTTACATTAACCCTAAACCCTAAATCCTACAGTTAAAATTTATCACCCTAGACCCTTGTAGCGGAAATGCAGTGACAAGAAGTCATTTAGAAGATGAGCCCTGCTCACCAGAATTCAAACTGCAACACCCTAAACCCTACCCTAAACCCGAAACCTGAAAGCAAGAAATCCTTGACCCTCAAACCCTAAACCCTCAAACCCTGAACCCCTAAAACACTCAAACCCTTATGCCCTTAACCCCTAAACCCTCAAACCCTAAACCCCCCAACCCGTAAACCCTCAAACCCGAAACCTTCAATAACCCCGAAACCCTCAACCCTAATGTCTCAGGCATTGGCACCAGTGGGCGCGGGCTTTGGCGATTTCGGAGCGCATGGTCGCCGAGGGCATCGCCATGAGCTCCGCCCCGATTCTGCTGTTTTTTGTTTTTTTTTGTTATTTGTTTTCTGCTGTTTTGTTTGTTTGTGTTTGTTGTCTTTTTTTGTTTGCCTTTTTTTGTTGTTTTTATTCCTGCTGTTTTGGGTTTTTTGGTTTAGGGGTTTAGGGGAATTGGGCTTCGGCTTTATTTTTGGAGTTTAGGGTTTAAAGTTTGGGTGTTTAGGGTTTTGGGGGTTGGAGTTTGCCGTGGGGGTTTGGGGATCAGATTCCTGGTGTCGCGTCTGCATTGTCGCGCTGGAGGGTTAGGGCGTCTTGTGCGTCAGGCTTTGGGGGAAAACCCCCTCCTAAAGGCTTCGACCCCCAAGTGCAAAACCCTGAAACCCCCCAACAATCTGCTTGAACTAGATCCTACCTCTAGTCTGCATTGTAGTTCCTGTTTCTGGTTTAGCGAAAATTTGCATCTAGGCTCTTTTAAGGTAACCCGAAAGGAACTACAATGGAGACTATAAGCAACCTGGACCCAAACAGCAAAAGCCTAAACCCCTGTAAAGACCTTATGAGGGACTCTTTGCGAGCTTCACAGGGGCTTCTCAACCTGAAATGCAGCGGTTTAGGGAACTAAATCTGGAGTATGAAACCCGAGACCCGAAACCTCAAACTCCAAACCCAAGCCCCAACCGACAAAGGAACACAGTGACCTTCAACGCTTGCATCAGTGCTTGTGAGGAGGCTGGCAAGTGGAAGGCCTGCCTGCAAGCGACATCTTGCATGAGAGGTGTAATTAGGCTTTGTGTAAGGTATAAATGAGGGTTTCGGTATAGAGTTTAGGGTTTGCTTTGGCGTGTAAGGTATAAATGAGGGTTTCGGTATAAAGTTTAGGGTTTAGGTTGCAGGTTCAGGGTATAAGCAATAAGGTACGAATCTATTCCGGCATAGGGTGGTTTGCCCAAGCCCCTTCCCGGGAGACACGGGGAGAGTGTTGACTGCATCGCTTAACATGTATATATATTTATATATATATACACATACACACATACGTACATACGTACATACATACATACATACATACATACATACATACATACATACATACATACACACACACATAAGCATGTTCACATACATAAAGAGAGGTGGGGTAGTCACAATCGAACTGCTCATGTAAGCATGTACACCCATAAGAGATGAGTACTTCGCAACATGGCCAATCGTAGCCCAAGGTTACTGCAGCTCCTTCGCCTCCTTTTCTAAAACCACGTAAAGCCCAATAACGGCTGGCTGAGCACCGTGTGCATTCCTGGTCTAAGCTAAAACCCTCAAGCCCTAATCCCTAAAACCCTAAATCCTAAAGCCCAAACCCTAAAGCCCAAACCCTCTGAGGATGAGGATGAGGATGCAGTGTGCAGTGTGCAGGCTGTCTTAGGTTTAGGGTTTAGGGTTAGTTTCAACCAAAGGTCTTTAAACGCCAAGCCCTAGACTTTGACAGCCGTGCACCGCGGGTTTTGGGTTCAGGGTTTAGGGTAATGTAGCGGCCTTACTAATTAGAATAGGGTTTGGGGGGTTCCTTATTATATCTATAGTATCATGTACCCCCAAACCCTATTCTAATTATTAAGGCCCCTATATTGCAGCGAGGAAGCCCTGTCGCTGCTGCAGATGATGGACGCGGCATCTCAAAAGATGCTCGGCTCCAAGGTTAGGATTTAGGGTTTAGGGTTAGGGTCCCCGACAGAAATAGAAGCAGCAGCCTTTTCGGCACACGGTCAACAAACAGCGATAGTTCTGAGCAAAGGCAATATTAATTAACATGACGACGCTTCGGAATTAGCTACAGGTCTGATTCGGAGAGCTCATGTTCTACTTCTTGCAGCCCCTGTGAATAGTAAGCATTTCACGAACAGCTTGCGACTAAACCCTCAAGGACGGTCCGTTTGCCTGAAGATACTCGACAACAAGACCTAAGACCCTCAACCCCTAAACCCCTAAACCCTAAACCCCTAAACCCTAAACCCTAAACCTCAACCCCTAAGCCCCTAAACCCTGAATCCCTAAACCCCTAAACCCTAAACCTAAGACAGCGTGCACACTGCACACTGCACACTGCATCCTCATCCTCAGAGGGTTTGGGCTTTAGGGTTTGGGGTTTTAGGGTTTTGGGTGTTAGGGTTGTGGGCTTGAGGGTTTTAGGGTTTGGGGCTTTAGGCTTTAGGGTTTAGGGTTTAGGGCTGGAGGGTTTTATGGTGTGGGCTGTAGGCTGTAGGGTTTAGGGTTTGGGCTTCAGGGTTTAGGTTTAGGGTTCAGGGTTTAGGGCTTGAGGGTTTTAGGGTTTGGGCTTTAGGCTTTAGGGTTTAGGGTTTGGGGTTTTAGAGTTTAAGGCTTCAGTTCCTGGTGGCACATTCCCTCCGCGACCTCAGCTACACTATAGGCGCCTGAATATTTGGCAGTGGTATATCTTTGGCTGCCCTTATCATCCTTGTATATTGGTGGAGCCACCCCTAGCCTATAACTATCCAGGCGCCTAATCTGCAGCCTAAGCCTAGGCCCTAACCCCACATCTGAGGAAGACGACGATCAGTTACAATGCTGCCATGAGCGCCTGTGGTGCTGTGGGGAAGTGGTGCCATCCTAAGAGACGCTGCTTATGCCTCTGAGCCTTGCAATGCTTATAGGGGGTGGTGAGAGAGTGAATCCGTATAGTAGTGCCTATATGACCCCTTTTCTAGTCCCTATATATATATATATACACATACGTATCTATATCTATATCTAAGTGTGTATATATATATATATAATTACACATTCCCTCCCTCCTCCACTCTCCCGTGAGCACCAGTAAGACAACCTAAGTGCAGAAACCGCTATGCCCCTAAACCCTAAACCCTAAACCCTAACCCTAGGCCTAAACCCTAAACCCTAAACCCTAACACCCGAGCCTAAATCCTAAACTATTGTGATTTAGGGGCCTCAATAATTAGAATAGGGTTTCGGATATATTCTACTGTAACTACAATAAGGAACCCCAAAAGATTGAGCTTTTCGGAGCTCTGTATTTTTTCGGAAAGGCTTCCGGCTACCGGGTTTGGCCTTGTGCCTCGCATGGCCGAGTTTGTGTCAAAACTAAACTTACGGGTTTAGGGTTTAGGGTTTAGTTAAGACTATTCTTGCTAGTTTGAATAAATCCAATGTTTTCGTTCAGATCACATAATACGAGTACTTTTATCACTTATGTTGCTGTTGCTCTCATTCGTCTTGTGTGGTTTCCCATAACAGCCAGCACAAGGTTTTGTGTCAATGCATTTTTCGGTCACCCCCACCTGCCCTAGACCCTACCTCCCAAGCCCTACACAGGAACCCGTAACCTTGACAACCCTAAACCCTAAACCTTAAACCCTAAACCCTAAACCTTAAACCCTAAACTCTAAACCCTAATCCCTAAACAGGCCCTAAACCTTAATCCCTAAACCCTTAAAACCCTCAGGGCTGGCCCTACACTGCCCTACACCACAACTGACCCCTAAACCCCTACAGCCCTAGACCCTAAACCCCTTAAAGGAACCCCTAGAAGAAGCCTTATAGTACCCTATAGAACCCTAAAAGGAACCCTTAAAGTATCGCTACAGAACCCTAAAAGGAACCCCTAAAGCCCTAAACCCTAAAGCCCCAGACCCCAAACCCTATCCTCTAAACCCTAAACCCTCAACCCTAAACCCTAAACCCAACCTTAAAAAAAGCTCTAAGCCGCCAGACCTCTTTGGCTCGAGACTTCGAGCGGAGAGCAGCAACGGGAGGGAGCGAACTTCGCGAAGTCCTTCCCGGTCATGGCAATGAAGCTCTGGCTCCTCGGTTCAGGGTTTAAAGTTTAGGGTTTAGGTTTTTGTGCCTTAGGGTTTAGGGTTTAGGGTTTAGGTTTCTCTGGCTTAGGGTTTACGGTTTAGGGTTTAGGTTTGTTTGATTTAGGGTTCAGGGTTTAGGGTTTAGGTTTTTTTTGGCTTAGGGTTCAGGGTTGGCAATGAAGCTCTGGTTCCTGGCTTTGGTGTCTTTGCTCCAGGGGCTTGTTGGGTTATATCGATCTATCTATCGATCTATCTTTCTATCTATCTAGCTATCTGTCTATCTATCTGTCTTTCTATCTATCTGCCTATCTACCTAGCTACTAATCTACCTATCTACCCATCTATCGATCTATCGATCTATCGATCTACCGATCTA